AGAATTCAGCTCTCAATCTGCAAAATCTGGCAATCAATTACTTCTGCAGAAATCAAGATATTTCTTGAGCAGATTATCTATATGGGAATACATAAATCTCCAACAGTTGAAGATTATTGGGATAAAGATGATGCTCAGGGACCACTTCATTCATCAAGATTTCACATGGGACAGTATAGATTTGAGCAGATTAAGAGATATATCCACATATTCAACGCTCATAGATTGGAATCTTCCTTCATTCAGAAGCTAGAACCTCTGTATTCAAAATTTCATACAGCCTGTCAGAAATACTACATTCCTGGTTCCAATCTCTCTATTGATGAGATAATGATTCGATTCTTTGGTCGATCAAAATACACAGTCAAGATGCCTCAGAAACTAATTAAACAGGGATATAAGATCTTTAAACTGGGAGAACAGAGCTATGTTTGGACCTTTTCCATGTCTCATGATAATCTCCGCATAAGTACAATGTTCCGTACTCCAGGATTAACCAGGACTGGATCTCTTGTGGTGGAATTGATTGAACGGCTGCCAGTATCCTTGCAGAGCATCGAGCAGCATATGGAGTTGAATAACAGTAAAGAGGTAGCTGGCTATTCAATTTATATGGACAACTACTTTACCTCTGTTGCTCTATTCCACTATCTTCGAAAGCAAGGAATTGGAGCTTGTGGAACCACCCGTCCAGCCAATCTACCACCTCTTTTACAAGAACTAAAGAACTCTGGATTATCTGCTCATATTCCCTTCAATACTCTATGTATTATCCCTCAAAATGAAGTTCTCTGTCTTGCATGGAAAGATAATAATGTGGTTTTACTACTGTCTACAGTTCATAAGCCAGACAGCTTCATTGAACGTATACGGAAACGTCCTGGGATCAATTCCACCAATGGCTCACAAATTCGACGTCTATTTGGTGATAAATTTGAACAAGCTATGGAGATTCCTACCATTATTGATGATTACAATCATTATATGAATGGGATTGACCTAGCAAATCAGTATAGAGCTTCCTATGAGACTCATATGCCCACCAATCGCACCTGGTTATCAATTCTATACTGGATTATCGATCATGCTATTGTCAATGCTTATATCCTTCATCGACTGGCTACTACTTGCACTACTGGCACTACTGGCACTACTATATCCCATGTTGAATTCCGTCGGCAGCTCTATCTTCAACTCCTGGAATTCTCAAATCCTCTACCTACTACTCGATCAAATCCAGATCTAAATCACCATCGAATTCCTCTGCCAGGACCTCGAGCTTGTGCCTGATGTCAGTATAAAAAAAAGAGAACAGAGCAGAATAAAGGTAGAGCTCCAAGATCAAGATATGATTGTGCTGCATGTAACAATATTCCTCTCTGTTTGAAAAGCCAGTGTTGGCAGGAGTTTCATTCCTGAGATTAATTAGGATTAGATCAAATAGATTACATAAATTACACTAAAACATATAAATACAGTAGATCTCTCATATCATCCAGTAGTTTTTATGTATTTAATACACTAAGGTACACACTAAAAATTTGCGCTAATTGTGCCTCGCCCCCAGACTAGGAGATAACTCCCGAAGGGTGGAACCCAAAAAATATTGCACACTAGAAATTTACATGGAATTCTCAATACAGGACCGCTGCTGCCAGAAGTTACGAGGCTTGACACCCTATTTTGGAAGCTAAGTTTTAAGCGTACAGCCCCTAAACTAGCCCATTTTTCGGGGGGGATCGATAGGCGTATCGGCTGGCGTTCCACACTTCCGCACTCCGTTCGACGATTTGGGTTGGTTATGGCGGTCACATCCAGAATTCGAAAAACCCACGGTTCTGGTTCCGACTGTTTGTTGATCATTCCTAAGCCCATTTATTTTTGACATCACCCGTTGATGTATGTATGTACGGTCCATACGGAGTCTGTGAGGTTTGGATAGCAGCCTGCTCCAATAATCGTTACGGATCCAACAGCGCTAACATGCCTCAAAAGTGGGCGTAACGTTTTTGATTTCGGAAGCCAACATCCCAATGCCGCGGCCAAAACCACAGTCAGGAGGATTTGAAGCAAGAATGTAATAGATTACAACCTGACCAAATCCCAAAAATCCACAAAATAACAGTGTGAACATACGTTCAAGTTGTCGAGCGCACGATTGCCTACGTTACGAAAAAACTCCCCGGTCAGCTCGCTATTATGGGGCCAGGAGCATGGATAGTATGGTCTATTGGAGATCGATGGTTTTATTGGCCTCCCAGTGGGGGCTTATTATTTTAGTTTAGCATAACCAAACCACCGGAATGGATCCAACCTTGAGTTATCGTCAAGCCGCAACTAACAGCTGAAATCCCAGCCAGAGAAACTTTCACCACGATGTGGACGTTCGAATAACATTGCTCGTCATGGGGGAGGAAATCCTTTTATTGTTTATTTATGTTTCACGGCAACATTTTACCACCAACTCTCCAAACAGACGACTTGTACCCTGTTAGATCGAAGACAATTCTACACGGTTGATGCCCCGGCCCACTATTTAAAACTTGGCGACTGGGATCAAAGGAGCTTAGTAGCGGGGACGAACCAATTCTAACCTGATGAAAGCGGGACAAATATTCCCAAGAGAAACACTCTTCGATTGGCTGTGTTCGTATCATTTTTCTCGTTCCACGATCCCACTACGAGGCGTCGAATGCCGCCACATGGGAATAGAGTAGTCGATAGGCCCGCAACACCCCGAGTCCCCGACGAATCGACAAGGAATTCTTCTGACGCCACCAAGTCACCAGTGACATGATGGACAACGATGGGTTAACTTGGAGGAATCGTATTCTGTAAGGATCTCTTTAGTTGGATCGGGGTTTCATCTGTAATTTCCACCCATCGTCGGCAGCATGGCGATCGCGATATCTGACATGGGACGGACATGGCTGGCTGCACTGTTTTCGGACATGGTCAAAAACACGTTCTGAATATGTACACTGCGTGCCGAGTACGGAGTACAGACTCCAAGAATGCATCCATGGACGAAAGGAACAATTACGCATGGTTTCGGTGAGCTGAACACCAGCAAGAAAAACCAATAGTAGGCATGGATCTGGTCGATGGGGCCATGCCATCATACCATGCCTGTCTGTTTTGTCATATTTGTCATATTTGTCAACACAAGATATGTACGAACTGTAGCTACTCTTCTCCCATTCGCAGCCCATGAATCCCAACTCCCAGTTCTCATTCGCGTCGTCTGACCGTCGGTTGGTCCGGTTGTCTGTGCGCTAACAGGCAACAAGCGTTGGGTAGCGCAGGCAGCGGGCTGTATTTTATTTACGCTGCTATGGCCATCCTGTTTAGGCTGTTACAGTCATAAGTTACCAGAACACGACGAAAAGGGCGCCATCGCAACCCGGACTTCCTTCATGCTTTTGGCCCAGACTCTCCTTCCACCTCTACGACGCTATTATTAAGGCTGAATTGCTCATCTGACGTTTTTCTTGTCCGCTCTCTTGTTCTTCTTCCAGCATTTGTCGTCGTCCAATGTCTTTCGACCTCCCCTCCGCATTGGTGTCCTCCTCTCGCGTTTACGCATCCATTTCTTGATATTCCTGTCCATTGCAGGCGCCGTTCCCGGGAATCTCGCTAATTATCAGGAATCAAGGTCGCATACAGTGGTTACGTGTGCTTTGTTCGTGTCAGGTTTCTTGCCCGAAAACCAGCCTTGGTTATTCCGGGTCACGCAAATAGACGACTTCAGGTTAACCTGCTTCTACGGATTGGGTACAATGATTTGCTGGGGGTTGGAGGGTGGTAGTTGACCTTTTGTTTTGTACTTCTATCTTTGTTTACCTTTTTATTTCATTTACTTTTTTATGTTATTCTTTTAGTTTTTTTCATTACTATTCCCCCGTGTCCCACTAATTTTAACGGTTAATTATTTCCTGTTGTTTGTTTCGGTTGTCGTTGTTGTTGCTTGTGTTTTTTTTTTTTTTTTTTTTGTTGCGGTTGTTGACAACCTTGAAACCCCGATGCTTGTTGTCCGCGACTTTCAATTTCCAAAACGTCGATGAATTCTACTCTTCGTTTTGTTGAGTGATGCGACACGAATGATTTCCGATTTCTACGCTCTCCGCCGCTGCCGCCGCCTCCTCCTTCTCCAGCGGTGGTAAATATATTCGACCTTCCGAGGGCGGAGGTCATACGTATTGCGGTTTTCGTGGAGATGGAATCCGAATTCCGGCATGCGGAACGAACACCTCTGACCCCCATTCAGTCAGAAGGGAAGACATCTGGGATTTTCACAAAGCAGGCAGCCAATGAGCCGCGGTCGAAACGCGTTCCTAACCATGCCTCCCGATCGGAGAACCATTCTTTTGGGCAGCCCCATACGAGATTGCAGGATGGGCAAGCACGAAATAATACCTCTCCAGCAAAAGCAAAACAGAGAACCAATTCACTTCGCCGTGCTAAGAATTGTAGTGAAGTATTGAGGCAGAGGGCTTTAAAACGTTCGAACACGATTGATGTTCCGCCTGAAGGCATTGGATTTTCAGGACTAGGAGGTAGAGAGGCGAGACACTTCACGGTTGGGAATGTTGGCCACAACGGGAAAATGTACCTCAGGTACGATGATACGATTAAATCATGGATATTTGGTGTGAAGGCGCAATATGAACTAATTATTTGACTCTGTCGTTCCAGACCAACGAACCAGACCAGACTACAACCTCTGCCTGTTATAAAAGCTCCTCCCCCATCTTTGAACAAACAATACCTACACCCAGAAACCCATCAGCTGGACAACGCCAGATTGGCTAGACATAGTATGTGGTCTAACTCCCAGCTGTCAGAGTTACGACCCCACATGGTTCGCGAGGATAGCAACGAAAGCAAGCATGACGTATCGACGACTTCAGACGACCAAGAGTCAAGGCGACATTCACTCGACAATATTCCGTCCTCAGATCCGAGAAATCGTAGAGAATTGCGGATCGTGATTGAGCGTCCTGAAAGTGAGCGCCCTAAATCGGCTGACCAGCCTCCAGTCCCTGCCATTGAAGTCCCAATCCCCCACTTCAGACTTGGAGGGTTTCGGTTTACATCAGAAGGCAACCCTACTCTGCGTAGCTCTGCGTGCACCAGAACATCTGCATCGGAGCACTTTCGATCTTCTATGGGAACTGAGAATGATTCGGCCATAGCACCCCGTCCGTCTCGATTGGTACACCAGGACTCAAGGGCCCCCGGAACAAATTCAATCTTGCGATCCGTACGTACTGGGAATCAGGAATTCAACGAATTACCGAATTTAACATCAGCCCAGTCATCCGTGTTTTACAAATTGAGAGAACCAATAGAACCTTCTATCTTTGACTTCCTACTCCATAAAATGGATGACCCGTCAGTTGTCCGCTATGTCAAAGGTTCAAACGAGATATCTGCTGCTACTCCCGCTCGAATAGTTGCACAGATTTCATCGGATTCGTTTATGGATTACGAATTGGTATCTGACTTCTTCCTCACATTTCGGTCTTATCTTTCGCCCAGTAACCTCCTTTCACTTTTGTTGGCAAGGCTCCAATGGGCGATCAGTCGACTGGAGGATGACGGAAGGATAATCCGGATTCGCACTTTCGCAGCTTTAAGGCATTGGATTCTTAACTATTTTGTCGACGATTTCGTTATCAATCGTGACCTTCGGGTTCAATTCTGCCAGAGACTGAATCAGATATATGAGAATGTCAGAAGAAGCAGCAACAACAGCGCAAGTGATCTCAAAATCCTTCTTGACTTGAAGCGGTGCTGGAATGGCAGATGCGCTCTGTATTGGGACTCACCAGATTTTGTCAATGACGCTCAACCTGATGATAAAGTTATGCCCGGGGGTGTTGCCGGATCAAGGGATGTTCACCTAAGTCGCTTAAGCGGTATCCGGGCCTCTTCTCATACTATCGAATCACAAGCTGTGGATGTAGTACCACAGTTTCCCGCATCTCCTTTGAAGGCCACTCATCAAAAAGAGAGAGACGTTCACCGTTCACCTTCCCATACTCACAACTTTTCAGCAATGTCTGCTCGGGATTTACCACCATCATCGGATAGTGTAAAAAGCATCCAAGCAGCTTCATGTTCCTTGCCCTCCAAGGGACAGAAACATGGGTCCACACAGTCGACCCGTCCAAAAGGCCCACATCCCATATTAGTGACATCTTCACCGCGTAGTTCGCCAACATCCACTGACCCCCCGGCAACGGCACCCATGATTCAACTATGGCGTCGGCCAACTCATTCCCACAAACGAAGTGGAAGTTTTTCAGATTCTGTACGGGATGATCGAGCACCGCTACCAGCTTTAAATCTCGACACTCAGAGACAATCTCTCCTCCAAGCCTTGCCCCATGCTGAAAGTATAATTCGAGGTAATGCCTACGGTCCAGTGGATCCATCTGTGCCAATAATCGCACCTGCGTCACCTACTCTTGAAGCCACTCAGTTTTTTGTACAACCAACACCGGCGGCAAAAGGAGATAACTTGATTAAATCTACACCAGGTGTCAAAACCTTCATTGGTACAATTCGTCGAGCTCTACATAATAGACAAAGTGGCCATTCGTCAACCCCCCCGCAACCTTCAAATTCCAGTCCATTACCGTCACTAAAGTGTAAAACTTCTGCACTCCCTCTAAACGTCGGGGTGGGATGCGATACATACAGGGAAAGACGGTCAGGGCCAGATGCTAGAGTCAATCCGCGGATTGACGTACTGTGCGACAATGCTCTCCAGTGCTATCGCCAACTTGTTCTGCGGGAGTCACTGAAATCAGAACCTGTGTCTGAGATCGTACCTACCAGGGAGTTAGAAAAAGATAGGTTATTTTTACCGGGGTCGACCGATAAATCGAACCCGGGAACCGACTTTAGATATGGCCTTGGGCTTGAGAGAATACCGAGCCAGCTAACGGCTGGAAGCAAATCGATTGTTATAGTGGATGACACCCGCCCAGCTATTCCGCTAATATCTGGAGCATTACAGACTATCCAAAATGTTCACCGCCAATTCCAAGAATCACCATTGCACGATTTCGAAGAGGCGATCGATGCGTCGTCTCCTATATCCCACCATGATACTTTGGTTGGTGCTCCCGGCCCCTCATTAGAACGGTATGATACGAACTCCATATCGGAAACTCGAGATTCGCGAACTTCGGAAGACTACGTTAGGTTTCCAGAGAAGCGATCTTCCTCTGTGGTTCGAAATGGTTCGAAAACCCCGGTACGATCCAGTTCGGGTAGTAGGCTACGACGATACGCGTCTTATCATAGCGGGATGGTAAAGTTTGGGAAGCAGTCAAGCATTGGCTTTGCGAATGAGACTGTGTCACGCAGTGGATCGTTCCGCGAATCGCGAGAGAAGCCATTTGCTCGTATGCTTCGCCGTCGTCCTGGCGGGGATCTAAGGAAGATCCGAAATTTTCATGATCTTCAAGCAGGGCCCATGGTACGATCCTTTGCCTCTGGGACATCGTACACAGCATCAATGGCAGAATCTCTCTTATACTTGAACAAGGACGGCACGGCAGGAGCTCCACCGAACGAATGGTGCGAGCGTGAAGAAGCACTCCTTCCAATGCAACATCATTCCGCCACTGGAGCACGTCACTCCCATCGGATGCGAGCCTCTTTTGAGGCTGCAGTTGCAGGATTCTCCAGAATCCCTGATGATGAAGATGGAGGAATCGAATCGACTCTCCTTAAATTGGAGGGCAAATGGGAGAAGCCGTCGCCAGCTACGCCTCGAGACTGTAAAGAACAACCTAACTCTGGTGATACACTCACGGATAAACACAACGACCGTAAAGAACAATTCTATCGTCAACGATACCTCACTGAACCTGCCGTTGCACCTACTTTCCAGTCAGATAATGATCGAAAGTTGTCTACGATTACTGCGCCCGATACAGAATCGTTCATAGGTTCCGAGGATTCATATTGCTCGATCCCGCTCCTTGAACGTGGTTTGAGCGACGAGTCTATGAAAAGTCCCATTTTCAGTCCACCAATCCAATCCCCACTACAAACATTCAACCAGGATGATGATCCAGCAACTGGTAGACTTGAGTCGTCTCATCCATCGATTGATATGGTTGAAGAAACAGAGAGCTTAAAACGGATTCCGCAAGGTTCAACTGTCCCAAGGCCCCCTACATTATCCTCCACGCTACCCAAGCCAAATGCTCATGAGGGTGATGATGATGACGGCTACGGCTCCGAGCTCTCCTCGGAAATATCAGTCATTGATAAGGATGAAGCGGTCGACAGGTATCGAAAGACCAGCGCAATTGCCAGCATAGATGAAGCACTACCGAGCCTAGACATGCTTTCACATCCTTTGAGGCACCCGCCGTCTCCACCAATGACCGCACGATACCCTGGTTCGACATCGTCTTATGCTGCTCCTGTGGACACCATCACCCTACAGCGGCAACCTATAACACCTGACTTGTCGCCCAGTGGTAAAAACCTGCCCAGCACTTCTACAAACCGAACGCTAGACTTAAAAAATCTTTCAAGTAATATCTTGTTTAGCTCAGAGACGCAAACATATGTCAAAGAAACCCCAGCTATGCTATCATCAAACAATTGCCATTTGCCTTTCATTCTGGCCTGCGAATCCCTCGTGCTTGCTCAGCAGTTCACCCTCGTTGAAAAGGCTGCACTGAACGAGGTTGACTGGAAAGATTTGGTGGACATGCGGTGGAGTCAGTCCTCGCAGTCAACACTTAACTGGGCAAGCTATCTTTCGCAGCATGATCGTAGGGGAATTGATATTGTTGTTGCTCGCTTCAACCTCATGGTGAAATGGGTAGTCTCAGAGGTTGTTCTGACAAAGAATATAACCGAAAGAGCGCGAACTATCACCAAACTTATCCACGTGGCTGTGCACTCGAGGAGACTCCGGAATTACTCGACCATGCTGCAGATCACCATAGCGCTTTGCTCAGTTGATTGTACGAGACTGACGAAGACTTGGGAGCTAGTCGCGGACGACGAGAAGCAGCTGCTTAAGGATATGGAGACACTAGCGCAGCCCATTCGTAATTTCCAAAAACTGCGATTGGAGATGGAAACCACCAACCTGCAAGACGGATGTGTCCCGTTTGTCGGTGAGTAGCTCTTTCCCAGTCCCTCCTTTACACCCTCGTATATTTCAAATTAGCAGGAAAATTGGCTAACCATAGGTTTGACGTGACATTAGGCCTCTATGTTCAAGACCTGACCTACAACTCCCAGAAGCCTGCTCAGATAGCGAGTACGCGGGATGGCGAACCTCTCGTGAACTTCGAGCGGTATCGCACTGCTGCAACGATTGTGAAAAGCCTGCTTCGCCTTATCGATGCTAGTACGAAATATACTTTCGAACCCGTCTATGGGATCATCGAGCGCTGTCTCTGGATCTCCGCGCTACCCGACGAGAAAATTGTGGCTCTGAGCAATGACCTTGCGCAGTGAACAAACAGCCGAGTGCCCTTCCACCTTGCCTACATGGAATTCATGAATATCCTCCGCTTTTATAAATTCGGGTTTTGATGCATTTGTCTCCTTGTTCCTCCTCCGTTTATTTTGTTATTTTGCTGAACGAATTTCCTTCTATCTACGTCATATCTAGGAGCGGATAATGACATATTATTAATTAGCGTTGTATCAGTATTATTGTGGGAGTTTTGTTTTTAATCAACGTTGTGTTTCCCTTGCTTCTTCTGTTCGCTTGATAGATAGCATTTCGTTTCAAGTGCCTGTTTTTCGTTTGGCTATCATAGATTGATTTGGGTGCCTATTACATGTGTCTTTTCTCTTGCATTGAACTCTTATTTTCGCCTACTATCGAGGCATATATTACGGATATTGAAGACAAAGGAAGTTCCCACTTCTTTGGTCTCATCCTCCATTGCAGCTTCAAACTTCCAGTCAACAAAGTAATAATTAATGATGATGATAATATCCATAATAGAATATAATCAGGCGACTACGTCTTTAAATAAAGATATTAAAATTCAGTTGTATACAGCTTTAAACTACTGCCGTTGTGCCATTTCCATCATTTCAGAGTGGGATGTTTTATTGTGGCTTCGTCATTTTTCCTTGGTTGGCTCTGTCTGGCCTTGAAGTTACACCCACATCGCCCACCGATCTCAACTTCTCTCTATCGATCCCCAAGCTTACCCTTTTCGTTTCTTCCACCTACAATAATATATAATATAACCAGCCGCTCAACTGCCCATTATCTCCTCGCTCCTCCTCAAGAATTAACCCCTTGCAACAATCTCACCTAACTAACCGTTTCCCCTCATTCCACAAGTCCTAGCGGGCCCCATGGCCGCAAACCAGTCACCCCTCAACTCTCCCGTTGTGAGTTTGGTCGAATAAATATAAACTCCACCTTTTCGATAAATCACATACGTTATCGACTTCTACCGCTAGTTTGCCTTATATTATACGTTTTCAAATCATGGACGCCAGTGAACCCCGGCTGGCAGAGGAGAGGCTCGGTTTCAACGGCAGGATCACGCAGGGTGCGGGCAAGCTTGATTATCATGATGATGGCGATGATGGAGAGTGCGAGAACGATACCGCGCCCAAACCGAGGCAGCTGCCTGACGACCTACCTACGTCACTGGATGATAGACGTTCTGTGCCGACGTTTGGGCCGGAGACGGAGATATATGATGCCTGGCAAGGTGGGTGTGCTTGACCTCCCTTTGTTTCGGCTCTGTTTGAGGGATGGAAAGCGAGGTTTTGGTAATGCGCGTCTGGAACTGGGGCTTAATTTAATGTGCAGTTGATTGTCTTATGAGGAGGTCCTCTTGAGTGTACGAACGCTTTGTATTCCGCCTTCCCGATTTGAATTGAGGGTTATAGGATGCTTACGACGCTGGGTTTCATTTGTGTCTTTTTTAATTAAGCAGGATGAAATCTACTGACCAAAACACGCTGGGTTCTATATCAGGTCAATCCCATTTTCTCACAAACCCCATTCCGGCAAAGCCTCTCTCCTTTAACCTCGCGCTTGATGATGGAAGCCATGATGAAGAGTATGGTGTCCACTCCCGATACACCCACAACTATTACCTCGATGACGGCGACTCAACGACGAGGGCAGAGGCAAAAGACTCCGACGCGAGATTGATGGAAATGCTGGCCGCACAGGCGGCACATAGGGAAGTAGAGTCTGTCGGTGTAGATGAGGATGATATCGCGACGGACGATAAGATGTCGTACGAGGACAAGCGGGATGTGTTACAAAGGAGTTTGAATATGGCAGCCAGCAATGGCGATGTGGAGCGGGTACGGAAGCTTGTTGGGGGGAAAGCGAGACAATATGTAGATGTCAATACTCCCGACGAGGAGGGGACGGTGCCCCTGATATATGCGAGTTGCTTCGTACGTGGAAACCCCTTGTTGCTTTTTGTTCCGCGGGCAATGAAACGCATGCGAGAACTCCTAGTTTCCGCCCGCAGCGTGTTAGTACTTTCGAGGCTGACGAAGGGAATAATACTTTTATCTCCTTTAAATAATAACAGGGACATCAAGAAGTGGTGTCCGCACTGCTCGAGGCGGGTGCGAATGTCGACAAACAAGACCGAAACCGGTGGAGCGCGCTCATGTGGGCGATGACGAATCGGCACAAGACTATTGCAAAGGTCCTCCTTGATTATGGTGCATCGCCGGATATCAAGTCGTCCTCTGGTGGGACGGCCTTCGATTTTGCACAGCCGGGGACGGATATTTCGAAATATCTGCAAGAAAATGGGTATCACTTTGGCGCATCGGTGGCGGCGGGCGACTATTATGACTTTGGGTTCTCGCATAACAGATTTGAAGAGGAAATGGCTGAGAATGAAATGAAGAGGCGAATGATGATGGAGGAGAGTGCAATTAATCTGGAAGTCGACTTGTCGAGCCTGGGCCTTGATGAGAAGCTCGAGGTAAGCTTTTGGAGTGCACCATTTTTGGTGTACAGGTGGTTGAGGACATGTTTTTACTGACTCTTGCCATTTTCTAATAATAATATGTAGTTGCCAGACGATTTCGAAGACCAACAGGAATTCGTATGGGACCGGTGTCTTAATGATCTTATGGTTGTTTTTCAGGAGAATGAGCTTGAAAGGATTTT